GCCCAGGCGGGTCTCGAACCCACGGGCTCAGGCAATCCACTCACCTCAGACTCCCAAGGCGCGGGATTACAAGCTGAGCCACCGAGTCCGGCTTACTTTTTTTTTTTTTGAATTGGAGTCTCACCCTGTTGCCCAGGCTGGAGTGCAGTGGCACACTCACGGCCACTGCAGCCTTGACCTACTGGATTCAGACGATCCTTCTGCCTCAGCCTTCCAAGTAGCTGGAATTACAGGCATGTGCTACCACACCTGGCTAATTTTTTTTTTTTTTTGATTTATTGTAGAGATGGGGGCTCACCAAATTGTCCAGGCTGGTCTTGAACCCCTGGGCTCAGGCAATCCTTTTGCCTCGGCCTCCCAAAGTGCTGGGATTACAGGTTTGAGCCACCACGCCCGGCCTGCACGCTCTCCGGGACCCCTAGCCCACCCCTCCACTCTCTTACTTGGACCTTCCCTGGCCTGCCTCACCCAGCCCCATCTTGCAGGTGTAGGACAGGTGGTAGTTGCAGGGCACATCACTCCACTGTCCCTGATCATGCCACACCATGACCACGCAGTTCTCTCCAGACAGGAAGTAGCTGTCGGGTTGCCCTGGGTTCCAGTTCTCGAAGAGCTGGGGGACAGAGGCGGTGAGGAGCTCCAGCTCCTGGAGCACCGGGCAGGAATGGGCCAAAGGATCTGGGGGGAGGGGCCTCAGGGGAGGGAAGGCGGGGCCTGGGGAGTAGGGGACCTCCTAGGGAAGGGGAAAGAAGAGGGTGGGGACTTTGGGGAGAAAGAGTGGGGGCCGGAAGAGAGAGAGGGGGACAAGGGAGGGAGGAGAGCCCAGAAGAAGAGGGAAGGGGCCCTAGAAAGGGGAGGAGGACAGTAAAAGACGGGGAAGGGGTCATGGGGTGGGAGGTGGGGGGCAGCAGAGGGCGGGAGTGCTTCCAGGAAACGAACTAGCCAACTTGTGGGGCGACGGGCCTCTCACCAGGGGGACGCCATCCGACCACAGGAAGTCACCTTCGATGGTCCTGTCGTTGAGCCCAATCCACTGGTACTCCCGGTATAGATCTGGGGAGGAAGCGCCGGGGAGACGAAGGTATGCAGTGAGCTCCGCCGCCAGCAGATGGTGGCCGTTCCCCACTCCTGAGCCGGCTGCGGGTGACCGCGGGGGACCTTATTCGCCCCAGTCCAGAGCCCGGTCTTCCCCGTTTTCTTAACCCTCCCTCCAACCTCTGCACACGGGTCAGACAGAAGGCAGGGCGTGGAGTTGGGAGAAGAAAAATATCAACCCGGCTAGAAAAAGGAAACTGGAAAAAGAGCAAAAACTTTCAATAAAGTTGAGGTCGGGGATGGCAAACGGTGGCAGGAGAGCCAGGGAGGTTGGGAGGGACTGGAGGTTGATGTGGGTGTAAGTTCCTGCGCGAACCTCAGCCCTGCCTCCCTGAAGCTCCACTGTCTAAGTGAAGAGTGGGAAGGAGGGAGCGAGGAGAAGGTGAATGAATGAATGGAGGAACCAAGTAATAGGTGTGTGAATTAATGAATAAGGCAGTTAATGAGTGAGTGAGATGATCATGGGGTCCCCCCGCCCCGTCCCCAGCCCACTGTTGATGAAGTCCTGTTCCTCTGGCGTGCTGATGCTGGCCAGGTGTGCGCCGTACATCCTGCACTGGGTCTCTGCCTCCTCCCAGCTCCTTCGTGTAGAAAAGTGCTTGTAGCAGGCACCCTGGAAGGCGTCCCAGCCAGGGCTGCAGAAGCGGAGGCCTGGGCACAAAAGGGTGGGCATCTGAGGGCCAGAACCCGGAGGGGCCAAGCCTCCTAGAAGGGCCTGGCCCCTTCCACCACCACAGTTCCATAGGCTAGTAGGAGCTGGAAGGCTTCCTGGGTAGGGACGCTGGTGCCTTGTCTGAGAGACAGGGACCACCAGGGTGAGGGCTGGAGTTCCAGCTCGAGTCTCTGCAGGCTTCCATCCTAAGGAAGATCTGAGCTCTCCTCTCAGGGGAATGGAAGCTGACACGTAAGGAGGGCCCACCAAATGCTGGGAGGATGCCGAGCACTCCCTCCCAGGGATCCCCTGAGAGAGGCGTTTGGGTTCCACTTAGATGAGGTCGAGGGGCTCCAAAGAGTTATGTCACTGTCTAAAATAGGGACTCATGAATGACAAGGCCCAAACCAGTCCTCCTGCCCCTCCAGAACTAGCACATCCCAGCAGGGTCCGGCCTTCAAATCTGTTCCTCCCCATGTCCCTCAACACACTCACCAACGTCGCAAAGGTCCCCCCCATAGCCGGGCAAACATAGGCAGCGGACCCCCTCCTCCTCCTCCAAGCATGTCCCACCATTGTGGCAGGGGCTGGGGACACAGTCACCTGAAGGGAGGAAAGAAGTGAAGTGGGGGAGCAGGGGAGCAACTCTGCAGCCTGAGACCCCCAGGAGAGGGGCAGAGGGTCCCCAGACCTGACCTCCCCTTCCTGTCCTGGGAGCTGTCACAGTACCCTGGAAGCTCTCCCTAAAGCCTGCCTCTGCTCACAGCCCAGCCCTGAGTTATGGGTTTCGTTCCTCTTTCTGCCTCCCACATCAACACTGGCTCAGTATGTGCAAGCCACCATTATGGCCACCGCTGTGGGCCCAGTCCAGTGGGGCCTGGGGGAGTGGCCAGCAAGGCCCTCAGGACCCAAGCCCACCTTGGGGAAAGACACAGGGCTGTCAGTTTATGGAACCGAACTCTTATCTGACTCCTGGCTCTTCCCTGTGACACTGAGCAGGTCACGTTCCCTCTGGTCTTGGAGTTTAGTCCCACAGCCCATTGTCTTTGTGTCAAGTCCAGCAGGTTCTGAACAGCCTAGGTGGGCGAGGGGAACTGGGGCAGGGGAGAGGATTACCATAGCAACAGGGGAGTGCGGCCTCCCTTGCCTGCTGCTGGGACCTGACATTGGTGTGGTCTAGGTGAGTGCTCACCACTTCACTCTGCCTGCTATTCACCTGGCAGAGTCAGCCAAGCCCAGAAGTAGCCAGTGTGACCCAACCCACTCCCCTCACCCACCCTGCCCTTCTCCCTGGCTCAGCAGCTCCTGTCCGCAGTGCTGGCTGGCCTCACACTCAGCTTCCCCTCAACCCTGTCCTCCTCTTCTCCCACCCTTCCACTTACCAGTCTCTCCCTCCCCCCTCCACTTTGGCCTTCTGCAGGTTCTCCAGCCTAGAATTCATCTCACTCCCTCCTTCTGGCTCTGTCTCCTCCAGGCAGTCCTCTTAGACTAACACACTACCCTGAAGGTCTGCAATCTGTTGTCTGGATCCAGCCCCATCTGGCTAGGCCATCTGCCTTCTCCCCTGGACTTTTTCTCTCTTGATCCTGGGGTAGGGGTGGCTGTCCTTGGGTTGTGCCTTGGTGCGAGAGGGACTGCCAGTGTTCACTCCTTTCTGCTCCAGGGGGAAAGATGGCCCCACAGACCAACAGTACAGGGCGGGACCCTTCAGACCCTGCCATCCATCCCTGGCAGCCACAGCCAAGGCCCACAGTGCTTCACGGTAGCCTGGCTGCAGATCCTGCTGTCTAGTGGGGATCAGAGCAGGGGTGGGGGGAGGAGAGGTTGGAGTGAATTCCAAGGATTCTGCTGGGATGACCTCGCTGTTTTGGGGAACATGAATCAGCTTTTCCAGCACCACTCCCCCTGTCATCTCCCTCCTGCCAATAGTTTCTTCCCAGCTGGTGGTGTTACCCGCTCCCAACCCCAGGGAAGAAGGCATTTGACTTAACCCATGAAGCACCAGGCCCCACAGAGGGCAGGAATCCTAACCACCCCTCCTAGTCCTCTCACCTATCTGCTCCTCCTGTTTTCCTCTCTGCTCCTTCTTGTTCAACCCTCCCACCCTGGAGGACAGAGACTCAGACCCGTTTCTTGGTCCCCTACCCAGGCCATGGGTACCTCTCCCAGCTGTGGGATGCAGAACTCCTCCCAGCTTGGGCCGAGGAGGGCAGAGGCACTCCTCTTGGGAAGTTCTTGTTTTCCTCCCTGTCCCTCTTTGGAGCCAGCCACCACACGCAACCAGAAAGTTTTCCCTCCCCTCGTGTTGAAATAGCAGGCTGGGTCCTCTCCCCTATCTTCCAGGTGGGGTAACTAAGACGCTGCAGATACCCCCAATGGTGCTCCCTTTCCCACCAACCCCCCCCACTGCTGAATTCCAAGACCAGCTGGGCAGGGAGCAAGCCACTGACATGGGGGGGGGCTGGGTGCGATGCAGGGTGTGCTCTGTCTAGGGGAGGGGTCCTCAGGCTGAGAGAAGCCCAGTTTCTCCAAGGACCTCCACTTGGAGCCTTAACCTCCCCTGAGGAGGTAGGGTCTCTCTCGGAGACTGGAATCTAACTCCCCATTCCTCCTCTCTCCACACCTGCCTCCACCCTTCACCCCTGATTTGTGTCTTCTCCAGCATGAGAGGCTTTGAGATCCTCTGGGTCTGGGGAGGGTGAACCCATTCCTTCTGGGGGCTGAGAAGTGACATTAGTGCAGGGTTAGTGGAGGAGGGGAGGCTGTGGGCAGTGAGGTGAGAGTTAGATATGCCCTGAGAGGCAGGGTGAAGGAGGGTTCCTGGATGCCCGGCGTGGCCCTGTGCTGGTTTCCTCTGTGGCTTTTCCACACAGGGCCAACAAGAAAGGAACAGAAATGCACAGTGCATGCACCCAGGCTGCAAGGGCTTCTCCCTTTCGGGAGTGAGGGACTACCATGCCCAGCACTCCTGCAGACTGACGACGATGATTTCTCTGGGGTCATGTGCATGGTCAGGCAGCCAAAGGAAAGTATGGCAGGCCTGAGCCGGGAGGCTGAAGGAACAGTAAGGGGCTGTAAGACTGTGAGGACAGGAAGGGGTGAGAGCTGAAGATGAAAAAGAAGAGAGGCAAAGAGACATAGAGAGGCAGAGGCAGAGAAAGGGAAAGACGTGTGCCAAAGAAAAGCTACGTCAGAGAGCTACCGTGACAGAGACCCGTGGAAGAAGGGCAGGCAGCTGGAGATGGAGACCGCGGGTCCCAGAGCTTGGTTACAAAGTAGTTTAATAGAGATTTATTTCCAAGGCTTGTTTTCCATGAAACAGTCAAAAAATACTTCACAGAAGTAGTTGCTTAAGGCTCTGTGGGGCTGAGGGCTCTCCTGAACCCCAGAGGCTGGGTTAGGGGGGCGGACTCCCAGGCTTCCCTGAGATCAGTGGGCGGTGGAGGGGTGGGGCAAATGGGGACGCACAGGAGGAGGGGGGCAGCGGAAGATGGGCCTGGCCCCGAGCGCGACAGGTGGTGAGGGCACCCCAGAGAGGCATGGGGTGCTCTGTGGGGCTGGCGAAGTGGGTGCCACAAATGGGGGCCCGAGGGCAGGAAAGGGCCAGGGGTGGCTAGTGGTGGGGTTGGGGTCCCAGGGCAAAGACTCAGAGAGTGGGGAATGGAAGCCACAGGCGAGTGTCAAAGACTGGAGACCCACAGGTGGAGGTGGGTAAGAGAATGAAGGTGAAGGACAGGAGAGTCTGGGGTGATGGCAGCTTAAAGGACTATGGGTCAGGTGACCCAGAGCTGCAGGGGGAGAAAGAGGAGGAGGACAAAGAGGGTGGCTGAGCCTTGGACAGCATTACCTGATGAGGGGGCCACGGCCACTCCACCTCGGCTGGCGCTGTCAGTGGGCAGCACTGGCTGGGCCTGCACTGAGGTCCCTGCTGGGGCAGTTCTTCCAGAATTGTCTTCGGAGGGGACCTCCAGCCTCCCGGTACCCTCAGGGGCCCGTGTGGCTGGAAGCAGGGAGGGGGCATCCTCGGAGCTCCCTGTCTCCTCACTCTCTCCTTGAGAAACCCCAGGTAGCTCAGGACCCTCAGTTCCCTCCCCCACCTCTCTTGCCCCAGCCAAAGTGGCAGGTGGCAGGGATGCCAGCTTCCCCTCCCCAGGAGTGGGCAGAGACTCAGGAGGTGGTCCACGGACCCGTGGAGGCCCGGGAGCTTCTGACTCTCCATCAGGAAATGGGGATGCCTCAGGTTGCGGGACTGCCCTTGTGGGCAGGGAGGCCTGGGACTGTGTCTCCTCCTGGGCTGGCTCCGTGGGGAGAGAGGCCTCCTGGCTGCTGAGCTCGCTGGGCCACGCCCACAGGGCCTCATCCTCCGCCTCCTCTTCTTCCTCTTCTGTCTCTTCTTCATCCCCGTATTCCTCTTCTTCCTCCAACGCTCCGCCTTCCTCGTCTGAGGACCGCGTGGGCGGTACGATGGATTGGGTTTCGAGTTCTGGGCAAAGCACAAACGGTTCAGCACCAGGGACAGCGCCCGTGGGAAGCAGGAGGTAGGAGAGATGGCGGGGCTGGGGGATTGGGAAGAGCCCGCCCTGGGGATAGGTTGACTTTGGCCCACGCTGTAAGAACTTCGACCTCAGCTGCAATGCAGAAGCAACGCTTGAGGCCCTGAGAGCTGTCATCAGCCCAGGAGAATGTGGTCGGTGCATTTCTCTCTCCTAGTCTGTCAACACTCTAGTCTGTCTTGGGTAGGTGAGGAGGAGGAGGGATCAAAGAAGAGAGGACTTTCCTTTCCAGAGAGAAGTCCTTAGTCCAAGCACCTCTAGCCCCACAGAGTTGGGGGGTGGAATTTACTGGAAAGACAAAGGTTGGGAAACGGGCCCTGCACTCTTGCCACTGAGATGCTGAGAAAGGGCAGGTAGAGTCATGCTAGCCATGACCAGCACCACCCTGGCTTACCCCTTCTGCCCCCGATTTCTCTCAGAGGGAGACAGCCCCAGGGTGAGGGGTTTCAGTTACCTAGGAGGGTCCTCGGGGCCTCCACGGGGTCTTCTGGAGTGGAGCCGCCTCCTCCGTCCTCCATGATGGGGATGGAGTAGATGGCCCCACGTGACTCGCTCTCCATGGTTTCCTGAGGCAGCTGCAGTTCCTCGAGGGTCTCTGTCACTGTGATGATGGCCTCCAGTCCATTGGAGGCTGGGTTGGAGGCCTCAGGCATGGCAGAGGGCTGGCCAGAGTCTGCGGCAGGAGGAAGACACTGATGGAAGGCTGAAGAGGTAGCCTGCCCTGCCAGAACACGGCCTGTGCCATGGAATTCTCTCAGTCCGCTCACCTTCCCTGTGGAGCACCCACAGGGGCTTGGGAGCACGCCAGACCTTTGTCACTCACTTCTCCAGCACTGATCAAGCACTTACTATATGTCGTGTCAACCATTCTCCTGAGATATAGTGTGAAACCAAACAGCAAACTTCCTGCCCTTAAGGGAAGTTATACTCTAGATACAGATAATAAGCATACATTATAATGGTCTAATGTAAAGAGTACTTGGGAGAGAGGGTGATGGGAAGCACCGCTTTGAGTGGTCAAGAAAGGCTCAGGTGAGAGAGGCTCCCTTGAGTGAGAGGAGGAGCCAAAGGACAGGTGAAGCAACCTTGGCACCTCGAGACCTTAGACTTGGGCCAAAGTGTGAGAGTCACTGGCTCTTGGTTCTTGAAATGGAAGGGATCAGGCTGCCAGCCCCACAGGAGAGCTGAAGGGCAGTCAGAACACTCAGCACTCACCACCTGGGGATCTCAGGGGCGGGCACATGGGCAAAGGCAGGGCCACCTCCTTCTGGGACCTGCTCCTTCTGGAAATCCAGGGGTCTAGGATGGACTGCCTTGACCTCTGGGGGAGGGAGCTGAAAGCAGGAAAACCAGTGAAGCCGAGGTGGAATTGGGCTAAGGAAAGCCCTGAGGGCCATCTGTGCTCAGCCAGGTGGGACAGGAGTGTGTCCCTGCCCTTGTCACCTGCTCCAGCGAGCCTTACTCTACCCCAGCCTGCACCCTCGCTGCCTCTGCCCTCCGCCAACCCTACTGGAGTCATCCTCTCCCTCCCACGCACTCCTGGTCCAGCTCCACCTTCCACTTCTTCCCAGAACAGTGTATGGCGCATACCCGGACTCAGGGTACACGAGTTTCAGCTATTATTAGTATTCTTATTATCTCTGTTCAGGAAGCCTTTCAAGATGGACCTGTCTTCCTGACTTTATTTCCTCACCCCTTCCCAGTCCCAGGCCAAAGATGTCTGCCAATCTGTCTCTTGGAAGGGATGCTTTTCTCTGTCTTTCTCATTCCTGGGAGTGAGGCATCTTATCTTCCCTAGACTGGGGGTTCCCATGACCAAAGTTGTGTCTTCCCTCCTCAGACCAGGTGCTCCCTGGGGGTAAAGGCTCTGTCTTCTCCTCCCATCTCTGCCTCCAGTCCTTGTGCCAGCATTGCAAGCTCACAATCGGGCAAGGACCCAGACACCCTGAGGCAAGCCCTGCCAGATTGTCAGCCACCCTTGGCTGGGCCCTGTGCCTCTGAAGGTCCCAGGCCTCTCCTCCAGTCCCCAAGGAAGACATGCACAGGAAGCCATCTTGATTCCTGGTTGTACTTGAGGTCCTGCTCCCTCTGGGAGGAATTGTGTCTGTCCATCAGTATTTGGTGATTAAAGATCTGACACCTTTAAGCTGCAGGGCCTGGAAACCCTCTGGAGGGCTCTTGAAAGCATTTGGTTAACTGGAAGAACTTGAGTAGGTTATTCATTGGATTCGGAGAATGCCGGTCATCTCTGCTCTGCCAATAAGCTGGCGAGAAACTTGTTCGGCAGCTGGGAAGCTGGGATGGAGAGACAACTTTGAGCTGGGGGAGACAGGCATGGACTGATGGGAAGGCGAATCCAGAGACATGGAGGGGCCACTCCTTGAGGCCATGCAGCCAGGGGGTGTGCCAGAATCAGAGCCCCAGATGGCAAGCTGGGCATTGTCCAACACACCCAAATGGCAAAGACCTGAGAGCAACTGGCTAAACCGGGTCAGGATTTTCAGGGCTTGGCCCCACCTTTCTGAGGTTGGTCCCAGCTCTGCCGGGAGGTGAGCTCACCTCGGAAGCAGTAGACGTTGAAGCGGCTGTGCTTGCTGGGGAAGCCCGTCTGGTTGGGGAAGAGGAAGAGAGTCTTGACCCCAGGCAGGCCCCCACCACAGCGCTGGCTGGGAGTGACAATGGGGTAGCGCACGCTGCCGTCAGCCAGCCAGCCCGGGCTGCAACGGTCCAGGCCACCATCCCACGCTGCATACAGCTGGCCCGTGGTGGCGATCTCCGCACCCCGCTCCTGGCAGTATGCCCGTGCTTCCTCCAACGTCAGCTTGTTTGGAGGAGCCCCTAGGAATAGTTCTCCTGGGTGGGGAAGAGGAGCCCGGGTTGCCAGGAAGTTGGGAGCCCCTTCCTCCCCGGGCTCAGTCTCCTCATCTGTGACATGGGGTCAGCTGCCCTACTTCATAGGATCAAAGTCTGGCTAGAACCTGGAGATGGAAGTCAGAGCCCAGAGGAACCTGGCCCGACAGCCTTGTCCTGCAGTGACACACAAGAGCTCAAGTTCAGCAACCCCCAACCTGGCGGAGGCTCTGGTCATGAACTGGCTTCTCTGACAGTGTTTGGAGGGAGGGAGATGAGGGACAGTGGGGTCCAGCAGAGGCTTCAGGGGGACCTGCGGGACATACTGGCATTGGGATTGTCCTGGGAACCTCTCCCTCCCAATCACCATTCAGGTCTTCCGCGTAACAATAGACATCGTAGAGGTCAGCTGGGTCCACCACGCCATAGTTCCGGACCCCGGGGAAGCCGTCCATGTCCCCATAACAGGCCTCTCGTGGGGTCTGGATGGGATACCTGGGACAAAGACAGAGGCTCAGCACAGAGGCCCTCACCAAGGAGCTGGCACACCCTGACCCCACAGAGTCATCTTGCCCTCTAGCCAAAGCTCATTGGGCTGGCTGTCCGCCCTCTGCAGGGACAACACCCTCACGACGGTCCTCACCTCCCTCAGACCAGCCTCATTCCTGAGGCAACAGCAGCCCCTGGCCCACTGCCCCAGCCCACCTCACGGTTTGGTCAGACAGCCAGCCTGCGTCACACTGCTCGTAGCCCCCCAGGTAGGCGGCGTACAGCTGCTCGGGGGTGGCGATGCGGGCTCCAATGCGGGCACAGGCCTCCTGGGCCCTGGCAAAGGAGAATGCGTAGCGGGCAGAGCCCTCTCGGTAGAGAAACACGACCCCTGAGAAGTAGAGAGGGTTCCTGAGCCAGTTGGTCACACCACACTCTGACCTCCTCTCACCCTCCTCCTCACTCCCCTATGCACAGAGGGTAAAGTCCAAATTGCGCTCACTCTACAGCATGAGGGACTTAGGTTAGACTGTGGGTAGAACTTTCTCCACCTGAAGAAAGAAAGGAGGGAACAAAGACCTATGTCCTCTCACTCCTTTCCAACTTAGTCTGTGCCTTCCAGATGCATCTGCCTCTCCCTCAGTCTTGTGCGCTCCCAGAGTGCAAGAGCTCTTCCCTCCCTCCCAAGTCTTTCTCCATCCCACCCTCTCACCCTTGACCTTGACCTCCACAGCGTCACTGCTGTCGTCGATGCCCTGCTGAACCTCACAGCGGTAGATGCCGGAGTCGTTGGGCCGCAGCTCGCTCAGCGCCAGGGAGACATCGGTGAGAGAGGCGGGGTAGGCGGGCAGGGCCACGCGGAAGCGGTAGGCCTCGCTCACCTTGACACGCACCCCCCGCGCCACCAGCACCTCGGCCTCCCGGCCCCCGGACAGGAAGGTCCACTTGACCCGCGGAGAGCCCAGCACAGCCCGGCGGCTCGGCGGAGGCCGCAGATGCTGGACGTGGCACGGGATGGTGAGGGCGCCGCCCAGCACGCCCTGCAGGGGCGCGTCGCTGGCGATGCGCACACGGAAGGCGCGGTCCTCTGTGAACGGGGAGCCTTCTGGAGCTTCTCGTGGTCACCCCGCGGGGTCCCACCCCGCCGTCTCCAAGCCCTGTCCCTCGATTCCTCCTCCCTGACCCAGAACCCTCCAGACCTGCCCGAGGTTCCCCGTCCCCCAGGACTAGGTCCTGTCCTCCGGGCCCATGCCACAGCCTCTGGACATAACCCCCAAAGGCTCCCAGGTCGTTCGGCCCCCAGGACTCCCTTGCCCTGCTCCCAGCCCCTCCTGGTCCTACCTGGGATCCCGGCCCTGCCCAGGGTCCCCCAGCTGGGCCCCTCGGCTTCCAGCCACGTCCCAGTCCGTTCCTGCAGAGTCTCCAGGGCCTCTCCCAACTCCGTGGTTTTCCCACATCCCAGGCCCCTTCACCCCAGGCCCAGGGGCCCCCATCTTCCACCCTAGGGACTCAGGCCTGGCACCTGGTCACCCTTCCCAGCCCTACCCACAAGGCAGCACCACCCTGCCAGGGGCCTCCGACCCGATCCTTCCCGACAGCTCTCCCAATTCTTTTCCTGGGGTCTCCTCAGGCTGCAGGCTGCAGGCTGCAGGCTGAACAAGACAAAGACGGTGGGGGTTGCTTACCTGAGCTGTCTCCTTCCAGAACGTCAGCTGAGGCCACGGGGACCTGGGCCAGGCCCAGGACTGCCAGCAGGGGCAGCAGCAGTGGGGCCATGCTGCAGACTGGTGAAGGACTTGAGGAGGAAAGATGTGGTTAGACTTCAGGTTGGACTTCCCTTGGCTCCTAACACACCCACGTGGATTCACACATATCCTGGCCCCAGAAGCTCACTGTCCCCGTCTCTGTTTCTGATCCCTGTCTCCCTGACATGGGATTCCTCCCCAGAGGGTCCTAGCCAACTCACTGTGTGACCTAAGCCAAGTTCCCTACCCTCTCTGGGCTTTTGTTTTCTTACTTGTAAAAGAGCACCATCTTACCACCTCACAAGTTGGGATGAGACAGCTTTGGCAGCGCTTTATATTCTAAAAACCCCTGTACAAATGTACAGCGCCAGACACACAGTAGGAGCTCAATAAATACTTCGAGCATGAATGGTGTGTGCTGTTATACTTAGAATTCCACTTGCCCTCCCAGTGCCAGATCCTTCCTCGAACCCAGAGCCCTTTTTCCCATAGTTCCCTTCCAACCTTCCCTGCCCGTCCCTTCTTCTCTGGGCACTATACTCATCTGGCCTCCTCCAGGAGGGCCTCCTAGACTGAACCCAGGCAATGCACAACTGCTTGCAAGCTTGTCCTCTCCTCTAGGTCCTCTGCTGTTACTTATAAGGAGACTCTTCGGCTCCCCAGCACCCCCGGTCCCCCTCCTAGGCTGCGTCCCGCCTTCTCCTTCCCAGCCTTTCCTTTCTGCCTGGCACGGGCTTTCCCACCGGATCTCCTGGCTCAGAAACCAGCTGGGACAAAGCCCCTGTCTCTGCCAGTCTGGCCTCTATCCAGCCTCTCCCTTCCCCCATCCCACCTTTTGTGAAAACCCTGGGCTGGGGGTGGGCTAAGAGGGGAGTGAGAATACACAGAAGGGGCCGCTCCCTCTTGTCCCTGCTTAGCAGAATCTCTAGAACCCAGAATATTCCTCTGAAGATCTCAAAGCACTCACACTCTCATAAAAGGAGTGGGCTGTCACATTGAGGAATGGAGATAGAGGCCCAGAGAGGGACAGGTCTGACCCTGGATCCCCAGCAAAGCCAAGTCAGGCACAAGGCCAATGTGCCCCAGGAGAGAAGGCGATAGACCTAGTGTCCAACAGCATCTTTAGGACTGGACTAGACCTAGAAGAACATGGGGACCTAGATCTGCCATGGAATAGACCGATGATGTAACAGAATCAAAGGTTAGACTGCAAGTAGGACTTTCTTTTTTTTTTTTTGAGTTGGAGTCTCACTCTGTCGCCCAGACTGGAGTGCAGTGGCCGCTCCCGGCCACCGCAGCCTCGACCTGCTGGGCTCCGGCGATCCTTCCGCCTCAGCCTTCCGAGTAGCCGGAATTACAGGCATGTGCTACCACGCCTGGCTGATTTTTTGATTTATTGTAGAGATGAGGTCTCGCCAAGTTGCCCAGGCGGGCCTCGAGCCCGTGGGCTCCGGCAATCCACTTACCTCAGCCTCCCAAGGCGTGGGATTACAGGCTGAGCCACCGAGCCCGGCTGCAAGTAGGACTTTCTACAGATCAGGCTTATTCCCACTAACTACTCACTCCAGTTCAGGCCCATTGTTGAGTCTCCATCTTCCCTGCCCTCTCAGGCTATGTCTTCATACCTGTCCCCCTTTCCTAAGCCTGAACTGATGGGAAATTTCCCTCTTCTCCCAGATCCTTCCAGGCCGGGCCCCCCACCATGGTAGCCTCCATTCCCCCACTGTGCCCAGGCAGCGTTTCCTCAGGGTCAGAGCTGGGGAGTAGTGGCAGAGCCAGACGCTTAGGGCATCTCTCCGACCTTGGAGGAAGTTCCTGATGGGACCAGACCAGAGGGTGTTGAGCCCAGTTCCAGGCATGGGGATGCCTGGAGGATGGTGTCCTGGGGCTGGAGTGGGGACACGCTACTTGAGTGGCCAGTGTCCACCGGGGCGGGGAAGCCTGTCTGCCATGCCTCTGAGCGGTGCCAGGGCCCAGTCTGGCCCCTCCTGTGCCCTCCCTCCGGCTCTCAGGGCTGGAGCTGCGCGCAGAACTGGCTCCTGCCTCTGACAGGCGGCCCAGAAACCCATATAGTTGGAGTCACTTGGGGGCCAACATCCTGGACCACCCTTCACCTCTGTTCTGACAGTAGGAGAGTGAGGCCAGCGAGGACCTGGCTGCCCTGGAAAACGAGGGTCATCCTGTCCCCACACCCGAGAATGGGAGTCACTGACCGGAGAGGCCCAGAGGGTAGCCTGGGAGAGCTCTGTCTCTCCTCTCCCCAAGCTGGCATCAGGCTTAGGCTTCAACCCTTCCCAGGGCCACCAGGAGCCTGCAGGAAACTCAGCCATCCCCGAGTTCTGGGGACGTCTCTGCTCCACACACCACTCACCTCCATCGCCTTCTCCAGAGCAGGACACACCACCCACCTCTGATCCCGAGAACTTGGCAGTCACCCTGCCTCCTCCCCTGATGGCACCCCACCCCTCTCCACTCTGTTTCCTGCTCCAGCCTCTGGGTTTCTGCCCTTGTTCTAAATTTCTTAAGCTGTTCAGGAAACTTCCTTCTTGTTACATCATCATTTCTGTCTGACCATGGGTGGCCATCTCCCTCGATCCCTTCACGGACCTAGCCCACAGAGAATTAAGATCAGGCTCTGCGTGGGGGTGTGTGTGTGTGTGTGTGTGTGTGTGTGTGCGCGCGCGCGCGCACGTGCACGGGCATACACCTAACACCCACTACCTCCCAGTCAAATGCCCACCAACTGGCAGCCAAGGTCCTCCATAGGAACTAAGCTCCAGCACTCAGCAGGGAGGCCAGGAGGCCAGAGCTCAGGTCCCAGCAGGTGGGAATCCGCCCTCCCTTAGTGGCTGTGCAAGGAACCACAGGAGCCCATGCGGTACCTGTGAGGCCTTGGGGCCTGTAGGAGTAACTGCAGCAATCGGATAAATAGTCCTATGTATTGGAAGTACAACTATTAGCAACCTCACCAGCCGAGCTACGGCAGGTTCTCCCAGTACAGAATCTGAAGTGTGGCTGCTGCTGTTATAAATAGCAAAGTTAGCTGGGCCAGCACAAGCACTGTGTACTTGGGCAGGTCATCGTAACACCGATCCCCTGTGCCCGATCCCCTGTGCTTACCGTGTCACCTGCAATCTGGTACTGCAGGTAATGCCGGTGCCCAAAAATGGATGCCAGTCTCTTGGTCTTGCTCCAACCAGGTGGGCAGAGCCACCCTGACCGGTGGGGATGTGGAAGTGGGGAGTTCAGCCGCCTGGCAGTGCTGAGAGGGAAGGAGTTCCTGTCCTGTTTCTGACCCGCTACCCAAGCCTTCTACTAAAGGCTTCCCAGGGTGATCTCAACTGAGAGTAAGAAGCTAGGTTTTTCCCTTATTACACCAAGAAGGAGCCCGAGTTCAGAGAGGTCAACTAACTACCCCAAGGTCACACAGCAAGTAGGTGGCAGAGCTGGGATCGCGGCTTCAGGTCGCAGCCGCCCACCCCTCACATCAGCTCCCTCGAGGCGTCCTGCAGGCCGCGGAGA